TTATTATTATTATTATTATTATTATTATTATTATTATTATTATTAGTTGTTATTATTATTATTATTATTATTATTATTATTATTATTATTATTATTATTATTATTATTATTATTATTATTATTATTATTATTATTATTATTATTATTATTATTATTATTATTATTAGTGTTATTATTATTATTTTCATTATTATTATCAAAGATAGCAATGTTATCATTTGCAATAGCCTTTATCATTGTTAATGTTTGATAACATTGTATATTAGCAAAAGTGAATGAATTCTAAATTCCATTAACTTTCTCAACAATATCATAAATGGCATTTTGTAAACGAATGTAAGTACGACATTGTTCATAAATGCCAACTTTGATAGCATTTGTGACATAAGCAATTGTGAGATTGTTTCGATTGTCGTGAACGACTTGTTGACATCCGAAGCCTGAATGACCATGTGCATGTGTCACCTGGAAAAATGCCAGTAAATTAAAAGGTGGACAGAGAGCCAGAAAATTAGGTTAGGAAAAGATGTAAAACAAACGAATATCTTCTTGTACTTGCAATAATGCAATCACAAATTCATTTTTATGGCTTATAAACTAACTTCAAAAATGATAATTCACAATTATGAAAAATTGAGAGTTAAATTTGAAATTTGAATCTTCCAAATAAATTTACAAAACCTGTGACTGATTGATGAAAATTAGGAAACCAATTTCTTTTGCTAAATGTTTTATTGTACATATATCCATACTGTTGGCGTGAACATTCCTCAAAATAAGTTGAACTGCAGGTGATAGAAGTTTACCTGTCGAAAGCTGTAATACAGTAAGCATTACGGCGTAATTAATGAATGTGACATAATTAGCTAGAAGATTTTCAAAAATAATTCCCAAATTTTGAATCAATTTAATTATAATCATAAAATAATTGTTTTTGGTACATTTTAAGAATAAAAATGCCGAAAGATCTCAATAGTTCTTTTAAAATAACACAATTTTAATTAGTTTATTGCTAAATAAAATTTTTGTTTCTTCAGGATACTGTAATACTCTATAATATAGCACAGTCATCAGACCATATGAAATATCTCTGCTAAACTTCTCGCATTACCAAATCCATGATATAATAAATGATGAAAATTTGGGTTGTTAATTTGTAATGGTATGGTTGGATCTAACCATTCCAAATTATGCATCACTTTATATATTCTTGAATCCTGCAATCTTCTGAACTGTTAATTAATTTAAATTCAAGTTAAAAAACGATTATTCCAGCGTTGAATTAATCTAAGAGTAAATTTTTCAATACAAATGGTCGTATTCAGAAAGTTGAACTTCGATAATTCTATATTTGCATAAAGTTAAATTTCAGAAGAGCATATACTTTTAATGCAAAGAATTGAAATAGCAAATTCCGCATTAAATGAGGAGTGTGATAAATTTCACTGAAAATATCAGACCAAGAAGGCATTGTTATTCTGGCCAATCGATGTTCTTCTGTCATCGATAAGCCAATTGAATAATCAATTCCTGAAATTGAAAAAAAGATTTATTTATTTATTGTCATTACAAGAAAATGTTACTGATTTGAATATCGGAAATAAATTGTTGCACACCGAATTTAAATGCTATTTCATCATGAAAATATTGCTGTACGCCTCGTTTCTGCTTATCAATATGCCGGATAAGCTGGTCAATAAGCCAATAGAATGAAGATCCATAACAACCGGAATCTTGCTCCGATAACCATTTTGGCTGCTCATTCTCGAAGATTTTTCTATAAAATAAACAAATGTTTCATTTATTCGTTTCTGTTTTACTCAATAATACTAAAAAGGAGAAAAAAAAACAAAACGAACATTTCTAGTTTTGATTTGTTGACCAATTTTTGATTTTTGAATTACAAAGTTAAATGGAATGTTTTTACATGCACATACCTCATTGCTTGATGATTAGTAGCATTTTCCAAACTAAGCGGCTTATCCAAATGAGTCAAACCCGCCTAAGCAAAACTTTTTATATTCATAATAATTCATCGTCAATAATCATAAAATAAAACAGCAACTCTTCAGATTCCCAAGATATGAAAAAAAAAATGTCAAATTAAATTTGGATTCGATGCGACAGTATTATACCGTATGTGATAACAGCATTTGTATGGTGATATTAGCTTTACCATTATCACCAAAACCAGGCCAGTATTTGGTGACCAGATCATCGTAATTTGCTAACTTCCTCTCGACAAGCAATGCAACACATAATGTCATTACAGTTTTCAAGCATGAAAATGTTGAAGTGATTGTGTCCTGTAATTGCTACTTGACAAAATTAAGTATGATAATTGATAATTCATGCTTTCCTGAACTCCTTTTACGCAATAAAGCACTACATCATCTTCCGCCCTAAAATTTTGTTTGTACTTTGATTGATTATATATTATTAGTAAAAGAAAACTTTGTTAGTTCTTCGATTATCATAACGAAATATAAAATTGGCTAATGAAGTAGGCGCTTATCATTTGCCATTTCCTGGCTGCTTGCACATCAGCATATCCGCCCCAAATATCAATCACTTTTTGATCTTTAAAGTAAACAGTTATCGCTGCACCTCCACGTTCCCAACCATCCATAAAGTTTTTCCTACAAATTTTTCATAATTCGATATTTTAATACTACTTACTGAAATAAATAACCAAATTTCATTCTAATCATTTATTGGTTAAATTTGTATGGTACAGTTGTAATTACAATTTTAAAAGTTAAAAATTTTTTCAATTAAATTTGTTAGCAAATTTGGGAGTATAATCTAAAAGAAGGAAGCAATAAAAGAACAACCTAAATATTTTTGAAACCAATTGAAATCGTTCATCAACCGTATTGAAATCAAAATACAATGGTAACTTCGTGTACAAATTATCATTCGTATAAACATAAATAGCATAAATGATAACAGCAGCAGTGATAACATGAAATTTCTTCGGTACGAGCATGCCAATAGATTTAAAATGTAAGAAATGATTCAAAAATGAAGTGATAAAAAACATTGCTATTATAAAAATTTATTCAATGGTGCTATGCTATCACTATTGCTGTTATCATTTATTGATTTCCAAAAATATTACCGTTTCCTGATAACAACGAATTGTTCCACCTATCTTTACATATATACTAATAATATACAGGAGAATTTCCTGTTGTATTAGTTTACTGAGAAATGCCGGGACAGAAATTGGAATAGTATATTTTATATTGAAAATTTAAATGAATTTGAAATTTACTTCATTTTTGGATCAAAAAGACAACGAATATTAATAAATTCAATGAATCGCATTTGAGCTCATTTCCTTGCATTAAAATGATATGCAATTACATAATTACTATTACTGTATAAGATTACTGTTTATTTGCATAACAATTTAAGAAATTAAAAAACTTCAAATCATTTCAAATTTTTTTCCAAACTTTATTTTTTGTAAATAAAATTATGAAACATAAAAATTTGGATGATTAACTAATATGAAGAGATATTAATGAAATAGTTAGCTAATTTCTTCAAAGGGAATAACAAATAAATAGAAATTCCATTAGAATTATTCATTTCGTTTATCTTTTCTTGGTCTATTGATATTATTTGTCTGTTATTCCTTTCCTACTGTAAAAAATGGGTTTTATCCAGTGTTAATATGGGAAAGTTGATAACATGGTATGGATAATTTTAATCAGTCTTAGAAAAAAAAAAAAAAATTGTAATGCAACTGTTGAGCTTGTAAATAGCGCTCTGTGACATTTTCATTTAAAAATTCTGTCAACGATGTGTCGTCAATTTTTACTAAACTTTTTTAATATTGTTCTATTGCCAACGAACCAACGAAATGTCAAATGAATGAAGCATTAGAAGCTTTCTTATTCTTTGATTTCATCAATGCAAAGTTACTTTTAGTGAAAGTTAAAAATTTACTTTAAATGTCTGGAAAAAAACAAACTATGAGAATTAAGTAACGGCGAATAATTCAATACAATGAAAATAGTATTGTTATACACTCTGATTTCTTCCATTTTCAATTTTGAAGTAAAAATGTGAATTTTGCAAAATTTGAAAATTAAACGACTTATTTGTTTTGCCTGATATTAGCAACATACTTTGTGACATCTCTGTCCGTATGACAATGACTCATTTGTCAAGTTTTTCATTCTTCTAGTTATCATATTGCTCCATTTTAATTCCTCCTATTAATTTTTACTTTGTCAGGTCAAATAACTAGTAATGCATCATCGGCTGAATGTGAATTTTAATTTTAGCTTAGTTTTTTTTTTTTAAATTGATAGATTCATTTTCAACGTCTTACTTACTTATAGCTTAATTGTAATTCTTTTTTTTGAATTAAAAAATTCTTTTTTATTCCTTAATTGGATTTGTATTCAAACTTTATCTAACATTTGTGAAAGGTCATTTAGTCATTTCAATGATCAATTTGTGGCAGCTACAGTGTGAAGATGAAAGTCAATAATTTAACATAATTTCAGGAAGTTATGTTTCATACGTTGGTATATTTAGAATGAATCGTTTTTGAGAGAACAAACATTATAATTTTAGGAAATTTCAATGACCTTTTTGAAATATCACCTCATAAATCTTCTGTGATGTTAATTTTGAGAAGGTCAAGTTGAAAATAAAATTAATGATTCAATACAATGAAAGAATTTTCGATCACTCTTTTGTCAAACTAATTTAAAATTGAAACATTCAACATTGGCTATAAATGGCTAATGTTTGGTGTAAGGCTTTCCCATCAGAAGTATTTTATTGAATGATCAAATAGTATCGCTAAATTGGAGTGGAAAAATGAATTTGAAGTATCGTTTGTTTTCAATATTTTCCATTGGAAATTTCAAAGTTTCATACAAAATTATTTTCAGACTTTTCATTTTAAAACTTTTTCTTCGAATTTTACGACTTATTCGCGTATTCTTACTTTAGAATCTTTCAAACTATTCGACATATATTACAGGTTAATATCAGAAGATTGAATTTACTTTGTTATGAGGTTATCACATTAATAAAATTAACTTTTACTTTTAGTATTTATACTTTCTAATGCTTATCGTAATGAAATATTACTGTCATTCTTAATTAAAACAATGAATAAGTATCATAGGTTATTGTTCATCTATTCATTAATAACCATTCATTGATTCCGCAAAATAAAGTCTCATAAACTGCATTAAATTATGGCAGTGATAATGTTAGAGTGATAACATGTAATAGGAACAAATGATAATGAATATGAGAGAAATACTTTAATGAGCAATAATCAGTAGTTCACATTTTGATCATTGGATCTACCTTGATCTTTTGATTTATTGGATTTTAAATGTTAATAATTCATGAAGCTTAAGAATCTATGAAATCAATGTAAATGTTTCATTGATTCTTAATTGTGTTTTGTTTTAGAATGATACGATCTATCACAATGCCTTCATAATAGTTATAAATTTAACAAATTAACTTTATCATAATACAATAACATATCATGATAATGATATCATTCATAGAGAATTTATCTTTCAACGAGTGATTTCTTTTGTAATTATGATTTATTTCGATTCTTTAACTTACTTTTGATGATAGTAATACTCAGTGATCGTAATGAGAATCAGAAAATCAAAATTAGAATCAATCAGAATGCTTCACGCATATGATGGATACTCAGTGATGGTAATGAGAATCAGAAAATCAAAATTAGAATCAATCAGAATGCTTCACGCATATGATGGAATATTTCTTTCTTTCATTTACTGTATAGTTTTACTTTGTTCTATTATTAAATTGTTTTCAAAAGCAATTAAAAAATGTTCATTACAAATAATGGTCTGGTCTTTTTTTTTTTTTTGAGTAAATTCAACTATTTCATAAGAGACCAAAAAAGGCAGTGCTTGTTAGAGAGAGAGAGAGAGAAGGAAAAAGAGAGAGAGATAGAAAGAAAACGAGCTAATTATCTAAGAAAGACAGTTAATTAACTAATAAAGATGGGTGAATAATTATAACATCCTGAATTGTCGTCGTATTTTCCGCAATTTGAGCAAACGTCGGCGCTTTTTAAATCCTTTACCCCATGCACCAATTACAAATGATTCAATTTCACAATGATTTTCTCCACGTAGGATACGAAATGTACCATTTTCACCCCAATTCGTACCCCAAGAATTAGCAGCTATCCAATATTTTACTGGTATTCCAGTTGAGTAATCTTCACCCCATCTGAAAATTCATCCATTTTTTTAATATTGGAAATCATTGAGATGCACTCCTTAGTAACTTTTTGTGAAAAGTTAGGAAATACTGAAAATCAGAATTTATATTAACAACTTGAAGCAACAGGTCAAAATAGCTCAAATCTAATAATTGAGGGGTTATTTGATGTTTTGAAACTATTTAATAGGATGAAACTCTCTGTTGCATTTCATTTATCTTTGTAATAATTTCAATTTTTTCTTTTATTCATTGCTAAAGTCGATTTTTTCCCATGGAAGATTTAAAATACTAAAATGAAAAAACTTACCCAAGAAGTCGTACTGAATGATAACCTTCAATCTCTTCTCCAACTGTTGGTAAATGTTTGTAAACTCCGGCACTAGAATATTTAAATATAGATTTGTTCAATATTAATTATTAGCTCCTGTAATCATTGACCTCTCAGTTGAATACTCTAAAGTGAGTTGCAAATAATCCTTCCAAAATCTGTAATTCACAGTATCCAACAGATGATACTAGAGATATTCATGGCTTTCATTATGAAATTTGAAACTATTAAATGCCCTATTCTCTTTGGTGAGGATTAAAATCGTTATCTTATCAATGAAATGCTTTATGACTTGCCTATACATGAAGAAGTCACCGTGAACACGGAAAGTTGCTTGAACTGGGCCATTTGTTAATATTTCTGACATGATATCTTGCTCTCTACTTGAAACCCTGCAACTTGCAAATAGCTATTGAAATTTTGAAATAATTAAATATTAATGAAATTTTTACAAAGAAAAAATCGAAATATTTTACCTGTAAGATGGTGTGGTACGGTATACTCGTGAATTAGGATGTCCACTTGGACATTGTCGTCCATTAGCATGTTTGGACTTCTGCATATAGCATATTTCAGGCTTTCTTGTGGTCCCACTTATGTATGGATAACATTCTTCACTTACTACTCTGTAAAAAATTATAAATTTTTTCGGAACAATCTAGCTATTAAATTAAATTAAAATTCTGAAAAAAAATTTGTTTCCTATTAGGCGATATTTTTGTGGGATAAAACGAACCCAAACTTTCGAATATACCACCAGGCTCGGTCAAGGTAACCACCTTCGCAACCTTTTTGTCGATGTTGATTACATGACAGAAATTGTTGTGCCGAAAGTGCGACATTTTGTCGACCCTCTGTTATCAGCGCTAAACGATCAGCTGATGTGGCTGCTGTTGATTGCGCCCATGAACTGCAAAATTAAATGCTAAATGAGCGAATTTAAGCATAAAAATTTAGGAAGAAATACTCGAATCATTTCAATTTTAACCTTTGGTCTGATTTATCAAATTTAATTTCAAACAAAAATCTATTCAAAAAAAAAAGAAAACAAAAACTAAAGACGAAGTGTGAGAATTAGAATTACTGTACTGTGGTACTACAATACCTGGCACAATCTCCCTGATCCTGAATTGGATGTATGAAATCAGGCCATTTCTGCCGTGCATCAAAGCTTGTTGGTAATTCTCGTGGTTTAACAATCATTTCATTCATATTCTAAAAAAAACAAACTTGTAATTGTCTGACTTTTCTTAATGAACTTTTTTAACAAATTTCTGATTGCTTCTTCCAAAAATATTTCGGTGCGAGACGAAAACTAGTAATCGAAAAAAAATTGGAAATGGAATTGAGGAATCATTATTATGATAAGTAATGAAGCAGAGAATAGCACTGAAAAGAACAATAAATTTAAACGTGATCAAAGTAAAAAATGATGAAGAAAATTAGAATTACAATAAGATAATAATGTTTTAACTGAAAAAGCTAACAGGTAAATAATACCTGGACACTTCGTTCCGGAAAAAGTGTACCGAGACGGTGACGTATTCCATCCTTCAACGTACGTCCCCAAAATTGCGAATAATTTCTTCCTGTCCATCTAATACAAACAAAATATTTCTCTAATTTTCTAAACTACAAGTTCCATAAATTTTTTCAGTAAACTAAAACAATAATTACAAAAGTTAATGAAATATCAGCAAACTTTATTTTTTACTAACTAATAGTGTATTTTAATTTTAAATTCTAAGATTAATTTACGATTTTTCCTCTTTTAATTCAAAAGTATGAATGATTAGGTATGCATCGAAAGCGAAAATTTTCTTCGTTTTTTTTTTTTTTTGGTAGGAAAGGAAATGGTTTTTAACAAATTTAATTTTTACATTTAAATAAAATGAAAATTACAAAACATTGAAAACTCGTATATTTTTGTGTAAATTCATTTTTTTTTTGAATACATTACTATAAATGAATCATTTTTCGGAAGTGAAATCATTGCTTAGTTCTGTCATCTTTTGGAATAAATATTTGAGAAAAGAATGGAAAGTTTTTTCTTCTTTGATAAATCCATTGTATCCAATACGATTTAGCGACCAATAAATTATTTTTGAAAGTCATTACAAAAGACTATTTGTAAAACATCAATAAGCAAATTTTATTCATTTCAAAACGAACTAAATAATCTTTTAATTAGTTGTTGACAAAATTAAAGTATTTCGAATTGAATATACTTTTAAATTTATTCTTCCAATTTTTCCAACTGAAAAAAACTAATTTCATTTCTGGAAATTTTTATAAATTCTTTTTTATGTCATGCAGCATTGCAATGTTTTGTGCAAAATTCTGTCAGCTAACTGAAGAAAAAATATCAAAAAATGAGCACAAACAAATTGCTTCTACCAATGATGTGGTCAGGTCAGAGGTTAAATAAAGATTGACTTGATTTTGCTTCAAAGCCACAACTGACATTTAATATGTTTGAATTTATGATCATTTTTTTTTAGGAATCTTTTTAGCAATAATAAAAAGATGATCGATGCAAAAAATATTATTTAAATTTTTGTTCGTATAAAATTAACGAAAATCCAAAAAAAAAACGAAAATTTTTAATAGCCTTTCATTACATGATAATCATGGTATTGCTAAAAGATATGGAATTTGGCTAACGTTTTATCATCCATTTGAATATTCAATAGTGATTCATTAACGTTTTATCATCCATTTTGAATATTCAATAGTGATTCATTAACGTTTTATCATCCATTTTGAATATTCAACAGTAAATGACTAACGTGTATCTTCCACTTTGAATTTTCATCAGTAAATCTTCTTGAATTAAACACGGTGCATTATCGCATTTCCATTGCTTCTCGATGCATGTACTGTAAAATTTTACCATTTATTTCAATTAATTTATCTTTAATATACGAAAGATTGGAAATCCTTATATTACACCAAATTGAAATGTAATGGATAGATGAAATGTTAAATGTCGCATTTTATTGATCCTAAAAGTGATTACATATTGATAACATCATATTGATGTCCATCACAGTGATGATGATATAATAACTTTCCATTGTATATTAATCAATGATACTAACGGTACAGATCTTAATGAGATCATATTTCATACAATTTGAAATTAAAAATTGTTTTAATTAATTTAAACAGTTAAAGTATTTGTTTCTCTAACCTTATATTGCGCAATTTCAATAAACACTTAAGAGATGAATCAGATAAAAGAGTGAAAGAGAACGACATGAGCTGTTTCAAGACCTTGTTGAATTGCAAATTCGAATCAACAATCAACAATATTCAAATGTTCTACGTCACGTGGAACTCTATGACGGTTCCACGTGACGTTATTTTGAAGATTTATTCATTTTTATTTCTTAATCCACTGGTAATACTAATATTACAGGGTTGAAAATAGATAAGTATGAGATAAATCGGTGATAGGAACTTCATCTTTTGTTGCATAGATGAAATTTAGAGTCTGAATGATGCGACTAAATGGACATGTCCTATTTACACTATTTCCAGTCTCAATAAATAAAAAAGGAAAACCTTTTACTTAGCGTCATATTGAAATGTGAAATGAGGCTTACTTGGCCTTGAAATACTACCGGTAGTAAATTATCAGAATCATCAAACTACCGGTTGGTATTAATTTCAACAAAATAGCTTTACTTTAAAAGAATCAAATTCCAATTTACGAATTCCTTTTCCTTATGAAATAAAATTAAGCTGGGCGATTAGATTTTCAAGATTTATCAGCTTTAATTGTTATTAAAAAATGATTAAAATGATTCAAAGTGAATTGGTTTCAAAATAGTTTTAGATAATAAATAATTTCACAAGACTTTTAACTTTATCTTTTCATTTAATTTTGCTATTTGAAGTTTTAACTGTGACTATTTTAACAAACAATAAGGCCTTTTAAAGTATTTGATGGGGGAATTAATTAAAATAAAAAAGAGTTGCTGTAGCAAACAGAGCAAAAATAGCGGAAAAAATTAAATGTGATAAAAAGTTGGATTAATTAAAGAGATAATATGTCACTGACAAAAAGAAATTCGTGAATGAAATTATTGCAATTAGTGGGTCCAACAAAATTAACATAATATTAACACAACCAATTACTAGCATAATGGCAAACTAATTACTGAATAAACAAATAAAAATTGAAAAAGCTATCATGTTTGAGCATAGTAAATAAAACATTGTGTGGCATTAATTAGTAATTTAGATGAATATTTTAAATAAAATCAGGATAGAAACCTGAAATTGCAATCAAAAATATTGGAAATGAAAGAAGAAATTCAATCAAAATATCGATGATAGGGAAGAATAAGCAAATAAAAAAGGAACAAAAACAAAAAATACATTACCCATCCAGTTATTATTCCTCTGACCGCCTGTATAAGTGGACATTGGTCAATCACTTATAATTTTAAGCTTCAAATTTAAAATTTTTTTTCCCACATTTTCTTTTCGCATTACTTTCTATGAAAACCAAATTCGGAAGCAAAAAAAATGAAAGATTGTTTGACGAAAAACTTCGAAATGTGCAAAAAGTTTTTTCCTTATTTCCAATAGAACTTCAGATTGATGATTGATTGCTATGTTTGGAAAAAAAAAAGAAAATTTCATTAAAAGTTCAAAGGGCTATCGTCTAAAATGTCAAATACAATGCCATCCGGTTCGTCGGTTAAAGAAAATATAAATATATATATGCATGTCGAAAAGAAATGTGCAATTTTTTAAGAATTTGTCAACTATTTGTGACATTGTCTTAATTACTTCACAATGTGTTTCGTGACATTTTAATGAACGGTAGCTGATTAGCTAATTAGCATTTGCATGAGAAAGAAGAAGGAAAAAAAAATTTGATAAACTTCTCATAAAATAATTCTGATAAAGTGATGTGATGCTTCGCGAAAATATCGTGAAATATTGTTTGTTTCAAGAGAGAGAAATGGATGTGACACAAAATAACTCCTGATGGATATATGAACGGAATGAAACTTCAAACTAAAGAGAACCGGTATTATTTTCAGGATAAAATGGATTTATAGTAATGATATTAGACATCTTAATGAAAATGCTTGGTAAATTTAAAATCATAAAAAATATCATAATGTGAAAAATGCTGCATATATCTTTTAAATGTTTGAATAGAAAGAAATTTAATGAACAAAAAAAAAAGGAAAGAAAATAACAATTTAAAATTACTTTAATGTCACACAAAAAAGCTTACAATTAAGTTCTTTTTTGTATCCAAAATATCTCAATTTCATATTTTATTGTCAAATAGTAATGTGATAATTTGTTGGAATTTGCCTAGAATAGTTGAATCATTGATGTTTGATTATTTCAAAATAAATTTAAAGTCAATTCAAAAAAAGTTTTATGCGAAAAAATTGTTTTTTTTGAACGTAACGTATAAAAGAGTTATTTATCAAGCAATTTCTTTTTTTGATGACTTTTTTTTTTTGGAATTTGGAAATTTCGACATTTTTTATTTTGCTTGCCTTTTTCTATACTCACCATATTCAACTGGTTTTTCATTTAATTTCTTTACATTTGCTTTATTTAATTATACTTAATTTTCACTTTACTGATAAAATACTTTGAAATCTCACAACAAAATTGCTTAAATTCCGCAATTATGAAGCATTTCTACGAGTTAGTTAATTAAACTTTTGTAGAAAATTTACAATTTAATAGAAAGAGGCGCATTTATACCAATTTAAATTTTGTTATAAACATTTTATTTTCTTTTTGCCGTACTTCATTTATAATATTTCCATTAATAAACGTTTCAATTCTTCAGCTAATCATTTTTTGCCATTTAAAAGTTCTTTGTTTTAAATCTCTAAAATTTCTCCTCATAATTGTTTATATAAAAAATTTGATTTAAAAAGAAAAAAAAGAATGTGAAAAATGAACCATTTATTGCAATTTCTGGTGATTGTGTCCTCTTCTGAGTACACTATTCCATCATGGATGCAATCTGAATACTATAAAATTAACAGTACTTCATATTCATCAATTTATCAGTAGTTATGTGATAAGTTATCTCTTTCTTTTTCTCTCCCTCTTCCTCCATCTACTTTTATTGTCACATATTTCAAATATAAAATTTTGAATGCTTATACTTAATAATTATACTTAATAGTAGTTACATACTTATAACTTAATACTATTAAGTGGATACTTAAACTTAATGATAATTTTGAATACTCATACTTAATACATTTCAATGTTTTGAGGAAAAATTAAGCTTCATTTTTTACCAGAAAAATTTCTGCCATTTTTTTTCTTTTGTCATTGCTTACGATTATGAACATAAAATGAACATTGAATTTGATGCAACCGGATTTGATTTCCGGAATTTAGTGAAGCAGATAAATGTCAATAGTAGATCAAGAATTTGATGACAAGAATATCTTTAGAATAAAATGAATCTTTCTGATATGATTGTAATGATGATAGTTGCTGAAATACCAAGCTTTGCTATCAACAAACTGATAATTTGATTAACACATATATGGTTTAATTTAGCTGCTTTCATAAAACATTTCATAAATATAAATTATTAAATAAAATCTTGTTAATAATAATTAAATTAATTAAAAAACATACCTAATTGACAATGCAATATGTGTATGTGTGTATGTGTCTGCATGTGTGTGTATGTACGTGTGCGTGTGCGTGTGTGTGTATGTG